TGTTATGGAACACTGCACATTAGGAAATTAATTTGCTTTTGCTGAAGACTAGATAATGTTGTATAATAAATTAAAACTAAAATTTTAAAGCAAAACAGCACTTATATATGAAATATATACTGCAGTAAAAATATTTTCACAACAGCTAACGTTGCTTGTATCACAAGCTTTTTTGCACACTTACTGTACTATTAAGAGTTAAAACAAGAAGTAAGATCTTTAATCCCACACACATTTACAGCAAATGTATTTTCTAAGCTCAAACTACAAATCTAGCAGTATTTTTCAGATCTCAATGCAAGTCGAAAGGGAATTTCCATATTTCAAAATCCATTTAATTGCACAACTGAGTAGCTTCCACTTAACCTTCCATTGGAAGTGATTAATCTACATTGTAATGACATACTGAAAGACAAATACCAAGAGAAGAATCTAATAGAATTTATAAATGTCTTCCAAGTGATGAATATCCACAATTAAAATTATATGCTCACGAATTAGTATCAGTACTTGACAGTACCTATCTATGTGAAACAGCATTTTTAAAGATGAAATCGGTAAAATCTCATTACAGATCAGCATTAACAGATGAACATTTGCAAATGATTTTTATTGTAGGGAATACTAACTCTGAACATCACTTAAGTGTAATGTTATCCCTCCTTCAAAAGAAGAGAATTTGGGCTTCCCTGGTGGCGCAGTGGTTGAGAGTCTGCCTGCCAATGCAGGGGACACGGGTTCATGCCCCGGTCCGGGAAGATCCCACGTGCCGCGGAGCGGCTGCGCCCGTGAGCCATGGCCGCTGAGCCTGCGCGTCCGGAGACTGTGCTCCACAATGGGAGAGGCCACAACAGTGAGAGGCCCGAGTACAGCAAAAAAAAAAAAAAAAAGAAAACAGAAGAGAATTCCATTTGCAGACCTCTACTACAAAAAATATACTCAATTGTTTTTGGATTTTGTTTAAAAAAATGTGGAAATTTGTTTTTTTCTTTTGTTGTATTACTGCCTACACAATGTTCTTAATTTTGCCTCTTATTCACAAGGCCTAAAATATCTACTGTTTGGTTTTTACAGAAAATTTTGCCAACACTTGCTCTAATTGATTTTTTTAACACCTGAATCAAACTGCATATGTACTTCCTGATTCATGTAGACTGGAGATTATGTGCATGGATAGGGGGCTGGAGGAGAGGGAGGGAGGGAAGGGAGGGAACTTCCCAAATAAATTTAGGATGATTTTGGAAGCAGAAAATCTGTGCAGGGAAATAAAAATGGATACGAACCCAACCATATTTGAGGTTCATCTGCTCTCTAGCTGTCCTCAGAGTAGTTATTCCCGTTCCAGACAAGCCCTGACTCAAGTCCTAACCAGCCTCCAGTAATCAGGAATGGGTGAATCAGGGCAGTAGAGAGAAGATGCATTTGAAACTTCAGACCAGGAGAAGTTAGTATACCACTAGTCTAAAAAAATATCAGGGTATATGAAGCAGACATAAAGCTCTCCACTCATACCACTTGCTCATTACAACCACTGAGCACAACAGCAATGACTTCCAATTCCCTGAGGATTCTCTCTAGCAACCATAGCCTGCTCTTCCCAGGGCCCTCGCAGGCTGGAAAGGCAAGAAATTAATGGTCCCTGGGCAACTCTCAGCCAGTGGTCCTATCAGTGGGATGACTCAGAGACATGGACTCCCATTTTCATCCATGTGGAGACAAAGATTAGTGAATTGACAGAACAGTGCCTACATTGTAGGTTGCCTTATATCCTCGGTCTCATGTCCTTTTCCACTACCAGTGCCTACTAGGATCACCTCCCAAATAAGACATTTGTCCTTGAACCCTTGTCTTAGGGTCTGTGACTGTTTACATGTTCACATGGAATCCAGACTTTTAATTTTGCAAAATATCTCTATTCTAAAGGAAATTAAGAAAATCTCATTTACAAAGGCATCAAAAATAATAAAATGCTTCTGAGAGATGTGTACACTTAAAATTATAAAACATTGCTGAAAGATATTAAAGGTGGCACAGGTAAATGAAAAGACATCTCATGTTCATGGATTGGAAGACTTAATATAGCTGAAAATGTCCATACTACCTAGCACTATTTACAAATTCAATGCAGTCCCTATTAAAATCCCAATACCACTCTTTGAAGACATGGGAAAAAGTATCCTAAAATTCTTATAGAATCTCAGTGGACCTTGAATAACCAAAACAATCTTGGGAAAGAAGAACGAAGATGGAAGCATCGCACTTCCTGATTTGAAAATATATTACAAAGCCACAGTAACCAAAACAGTCTGATACTGGCATAAAGACAGACATAAAGACCAATGGAACAAAATAGAGAGTACAGAAATAAACCCTCATGTATATGGCCGAATGATCGTCAACAAAGGTTCCAAGACCAAACAATGGGGAGAGGACAGTCTCTTCAACAAATGGTGTTGTGAAAACTGGATATCCACGAATGTAAGAATGAAATTGCTCCCTTAGCTTTTACCAGATACAAAAATTAACTCAAAATCGATTAAAGCCTAAATATAAGATCTAAAACGATTAAACTACTAGAAGAAAAGCTTTCTGAACTTGAATTTGACAGTGATTTATTGGACATAACACCAAAAGCACAGGCACAAATAGACAAATGAGACTACATCAAACTTAAAAACTTTTGCACATCAAAGGAAACCAGAGTGAAAAGCAACCTATAGAATGGGAGAAAGTATTTGTAAATCATATGTCTTAAAAAGGGGTAATATCCAGAATTTACCAAGAACTTCTAGCTCAACAACAACAACAAAAAACTTGATTTTAAAAAGGGCGAAGATCTCGAATATCCATTTCTCCATAGAAGATATACAGATGACCAACAAGCATATGAAAAGATGCTCAGTATTACTAATCATTAGAGAAATGCAGATCAAAACCACGAGATATCACCTCATACCCATTTGGATGGCTATGATAAACAATCATAACAGCAGCACTAGGCAGTGCAGGTGAGGATGTGGAGAAGTTGGAGCCTTTGTGCATTGTTGATGAGAATGTAAACTTGTGCAGCCGTTGTGAAAAACAGAAGGAAGTTTCCTAAAACATTAAAAATATAATTACCATATGATCTAAGCATCCCACTTCTGGGTATATATCCAAAAGAACTGAAAGCAGGATCTTGAAGAGATATTTGCTCACCCATGTTCATTGTTGTGTTATTCACATTAGCTAAGAAGTGGAAGCCACCAAAATGTTCCAACAACAGATGAATGGATAAAACATGTGATATATACATACAATGGAATATTTTTCAGCCTTAGAAAGAAGGAAATCATGTCACATGGTACAACACGGATGAACCTTAAAGACATGGTGCTAAGTGAAATAATCCAGTCACAAAAAGATAAATACTACATGATTCCACTTATACGAGGTATCTGAAGTAGTCAGATTCACAGCAACAGAGAGCAGAATTGTGGTTGCCAGGGCCTGGGGAGAGGGGAAATAGAAAGTTGTTGTTTGATGGGTCTAGAGTTTTATTTTTGCAAGATGAAAAAGTTCTGCAGTCTGTTGCACAACAATGTGAATATACTTAACCCTACTGAATTGTACACTTAAAAATGGTGAGTGTGGTAAATTTTATGTTATGTGTTATTTATCACAATTAAAAATGTGGGTACACTGAGTGGAAAATAAGGAAACAGAATGAGAAGGAGAAAGAATTAATCAGCTGATTGGAAGGAATGGCATGTCCCCATTTTCCCTATTACAGACTCCTGCCTTGTGACCTACCTGAATTTGGTGGAGACATGACAGGTGTCTTTTAGGGACAATTACCACTGGTGGTTCCTGCACCTTTCCCAGAGGGTATAGTACTTCCGGGGCTCATCTTGGACCCTTACTCAGGGTCCAAAGTGGCCAAAGGCACCAAATGTTTTCTCACCTTCATTCACCTACACGGGGACAAAGGCATTGAATGGCTGAGTGTAGAGGCTGTTGGCAAAGATATTTGCAAAGGGATGGAAACCACAAATAAAAGAAACGAAGGTTTTGTGAGAGGCCCCCCCAGAATTGTGTGGTGAAAGCCCTTGGAGCCTGCTGGTTTACTGCTGGTGATCTTCATGCGTAGAAGAGTGGACAAGGCAGGGGTGATGTGGCTCATCCCAGCGCCTTCGCCCTGCTCTACCTGCTGAATCAGGCGCCTAGAAAGAAATTGTTTGTTCTAACAGCTGAAGTTTTTCGTATTTCTCGTCTGTTATACCGCCCCCTCTCCCTCCACATCATGGTCTAGTTTAAGTAACTGAGAGGCGTGTCTCCTGTCTCTGAGACCCTGCCTTGCTCTCTATCACAGCCATATGTGGAGACTGAGGGTATAAGCAGAGCAGGATTTAGGGGAGTATTCAACTCCCTTCTCATTCAAACCCATTCTGTGGGGAAGACCGGCCACAGGAAGAGACCCATGAAGGCAGAGTGGTAAGGAATGGCTGTGTGTCAGGCTGCAGCTGGATCATGGATAAATTCACTGGTGGTGGAGAGGCAGTCTGGGCAAAGGGCACCTCAGAGGAAAAGCACTGAGACAGGAATTAAGGCAGCACTTTCTGGAACAACCAGGAGGTAAGCAATGCTGAACTGGGTTAGGACTAGAAAGAGAGGAAACTAGGACTTGAAATCAGACCAGTTTGATTCTAAAGTCTATACTGCTAACTTTAAGAATGTTAACATGTTGCCGTACTTAGCTCTGTGCATATTTATCTATCTATGCTAAATAATTTGCAAGTAAATTGCCAAATATCAAACCACTTCTGCCTAAATATTGTAGTGTACATATTGCAAAAATAAATAATTCTCGAACCCCCTAAGAAAACTAGCAACAAGTTTTTAATATCATCTAAATGCAGTCCACATTCAAACTTCCTTTTTAGTTTCATTTAATGTCAAACAGTCCCTAACCTTTCTTTTTCTGTTTCTTTTCAGTGATATCAACTTGTGGAAAGGCCTGGCCAGTTGTCATGCGGAAAGTCTCTATTCTGTACTGATCTCTCTATTTTCCCATGGCATGAAATTGTCTGTGCGCTGGCTTTCTTATCAACTGGAAGGTAAGTCTCTGATATGATGTGATTCGATTCTGGATGCAATTTTTGGCAAGAATACTTCATAGGTGATGTTATGTACTCTTTCTGCACTCATCAGGGGGGGACTTAGGGTATCTCACCGTCAGTGATGCTAGCCTTGATCATTTAGTTAAAGTGGTGAACATCATATTTCATCTTTGTTAGGGCTCACTTTAGTTTTATTTTTTTTAATTAACAGATAATCTGTAGGATGATACTTTGGCAAGATGAGAATATTCTACTTGCCAGCAACATCTTACTTTATGGGCTAGATGATCCTTGTCTGAATCAATTATTGTATTGGAGCTGCAAAATTCTGATTTTATATTTCTATCATTACTTTTATACTTGCTAGCTTATGCTCTTCTATGCTTCATGCCTCTTGAAGTCACAAAACCAAAGCTTAAGTTCTCTTGGTTCAGCAAATGCCTTCAAGGTAAAAGTGAGCTTCAGTGTTCTGCTTAACTTTCTGGACTCCCGCCTTTGTTTACTTTTGGGCCTGAATATTCTATACTTTCTTGTAAAATCATCAATAGACTTAAGATATTTTTATATTTCACCTAGAATGTTTAGGGTGACTATAAATGTATTATTTTTATCTATGATTCTTTTTGTCTTTATTAGATTGAGCAAATTTTCTTTTTCCTCCTCTATTTGGAATTTCTACATTCTATGTTTTAAAAATTTAACATGCATATTTGACATAAAATCTAAAACTATTTACATTTCTTTTTACTTCTGAAGAAATTAAAGGCACATACTTTTACATGTTGCTTTCTGATATTTTAATTTTACCTTATTTTCCCTTCCCGTTAGGAAATTACCTTTATTATTATCTTTTGTAGTGTTAGGGACTGAATTGTGTGCCCCCAGATTAATATGTTGAAGCCCTAACTCCCAATGTAAATGTATTTGGAGATATGGCCTTTAAGGAGATAATTAAGGTTAAATGAGATCATAATGGTGGGGCCCCAATCTAATAGGACTAGTGTCCTTATAAGAAGAGAAAGAGACACCAGGAGTGTGCACGCACTGAGAAAAGACCATGTGAGGACACAGAGGGAAGATGGCCTTCTGGAAACCATGGAGAGATCTCGAAAGAAACCAGCCCTGCTGGTACCTTTATCTTGGACTTCCAGCCTCCTGAACTGTGAGAGAATACATTTCTGTTGTCTAAGCCACCCACTCTGTGGTATTTTGTTATGGTAGCCAGAGCTGACTAATACAGATAGTCAAGGCTTCTTTAGATTTAGCAATCCACATACCACTTTCTCTTCTTACCACTCCTTCCTGCTACTCCTTCTGAATTTAACTTCCTCTTCCATGAAGTATATCATTTAGTAGTTCTTATAGCAGACCCTTTCTCTCTCTCTCTCTCATTCTTTACTGAAAATTTTTACTTTTTTCCTTATTCTAGAATAAGAGTTTAGCTGAGTAGTAATTATCGATAATTTCTTTTAATACTTTAATTTTATCCCAAATATTCTGGACTCTATCCATTGTTGCTACTGAAAAAAATTATTAAAGATGTAATTGTATTTTTTTTAAGTTATTCTGTTTTTTTTTTTTGGCCACTTTCAAGACTTGTTCTTTGTCTTTATATTCAGTATGTCCAGGTGTAGATTTTATTTTACTTTTCTTCTATTTCATTCTGTTTGTTCCTTGAGGCTAAGGGTTCTTGCATTTAGTCAGTTACAGGAAATTCTCAGTTCTAATATTCAATATATCACCTTTCTCCATTCTTTGTATTCTTTTTGTGTACTCCTACTAAGAATATATTAGACCTTCACATTCTATTGTTGGTGTCTATTAACTTTTCTTCCAGGTGTTCTATTAATGTGTGCTCACTGCCTAGTTAATTTCTTTACGTACACAGTTTACTAAATCTCTTTTCAGTGATTTATTTTTTATTTCTAGAAATCTAAATTGTTTCTTTTTCATTTTTGCCAGGTTTTTAAAAATTATTTCTTTTTATTATAACTTGTACCTTCAGTTTTCTTTTTACATGAATATTATATTTCAAAATACTTAACTCTGATAGCTTTATTATTGTAAGTTCTGTGTGTTTGTTGGGTTTACTGACATTTTTCATGGTCTGTTACATGTTCCTTGCATATTCTGCATCTTTGTGCTTTGTGGGCTTATTGTTAGAAGACCTTGATCTCTGACAATTAATCTTTTAAGAAGGTTTTCATTTGCTTCTGCCAAATACCTTTAGTGATTATTATTGCCCCTTTGATGTTAATTTTTCAGCTTGGTAGGGTCCAGATCAAGCAAGTAGTTTAAATCTGAACCTCTGGCCTATGACTTCCCAAGGGAGACTCTTTTACCAATCAGAATCCAAGCTTAAATTTCCTTTTCACTTCTTTGAACCACTTCCTTGAACTGTAGTTACTCATTTAATAGCATTTTACTGCTTTAAAAATCACTCAACTGTCTTGCCTTCATCTGAGAATCTATGTAATAACATCTTTTCCTGTTTTGTATTCTCAGGACATTTAAATCCTAAGTTCCTTGATTATGAGAGCAATAACCCTTCATACAGCTTCTATGCAGTCAGCTCACATGCCAGTCCCTCTGCTTTCCAGTTTTCTTTTAGTTTTTGTCCCTTGGGGAGATCCAAATACATGCACGAAACACATGCACATAGGTATGCTTTTATAACTGCTTGTTATATTCCATCCAGAATTTCTTTGTATTTGGCAACAGAAGGTTTTCAGTCAGTAATACTGTAGAAATGGGAGTCCGTGGTGGTTGTTATACAAATCCCAAATTGAATGGGCTCCCTTGCCAAAAGAAAGTTCTCAGTCAAAAGAACTATATGCAAAAGGCTAAGGATCACTTTGTTAGAAATATATGCAGGGTTGAGCACGATAATTTCAACACTGAGATACTTTGACAGAAATCTTACTTTACAGTTCATGTGAAGAAGACATTCAGTCACTGGTGTGCTCTAAAGCAGACAAAATAAACATAAGCAAACAACCCCCCCACCCCAAAGCTCTATTTATAGTGCTTGCTAATTTCCATGGTGTAAATATTCTCACAAATGGCTGATTTCAAACTAGCAATGGATTGCCAGTTAACTCACAACATTCCTGAAAATTTAATGACTGGTCCATGGAAACCAATATGAACCAGTTCAAGCACATGACTGCATTTAATTCATATTCCTGGATAATTTTTGTGGTAGATGTGGCATTTTCACTTTTTTCTTGATTCTAGTTCTCTGTGTCCTAGTTTGTTGCTTTCGTGGTAAAGGAAAAAGAAATATTAAATTAAAATTTCAGACTATGCATCAGAACAGGGATCAGCAAACTTTTTCTGTACAGTGCCTAGTATAAATACTTTAGGATTTGCTGGCTACATACAGTTGTCTTTTGCATATTCCTCTTCTTTTACTTTCTTCTTCTTCTTCTTCTTCTTTTTTTTTTAAACTCTTTAAAAATATGAAGACCATTGCACAGCAGGCCCTTAGCTGGACTATAGTTTGCTGACCTTTTTCTCTGCTCTAGAAGCTTGGGATTATTGCTGCCTTAAAACAAACTTGTGCTGAAATTTCTGATAGATGATAGGAGAATCATACTCTCTGTTTCTTAGCTTCTTGAACCATTTCTACAATTATCAAACCACGACGTTTTCTCTGGTATCATTGAGCTGGGACGGTCTATTTTGATTCTGTTTCTTTGAAACTGTATTTACTGTAAATGACAGCATATGTTACTAGGGGGAAAAGGTTTAATTTCTAGAATTTTCCATTAAAGTTATCTTTGAGATATTTGTTCTTTCCATTTTAACACTTTTTAAAGGCTTCCCAAGTAAACCAAAACATTAGAGTTTATGGATTATTTTGTCCTTATCCAAATGCTTGAGGCTATTAATTTTTCTTTGTATAAAAATATTTTTATATCCTTCCAAACAGGACTTAAGCTTACTTTCAGTGGTCAGTAAGGCTTGAAACTCCATGGCTTAACTGCTTTATATTATTTTAAGGACTGTAGAAATTGATGGATTATCATCAGGAAAATGAAAACAGTTTTCAGAACTACTTTGCTTAGAGAATTGAGCTTTTCAAGGCATACCCCCTCCTCAAACACCAAGTATTAATTATGTGGTTTAAGCTCCTGTTATTTCAGCAAAGAGCTTAAAAGACTGACTGACCAGCATGAAAAAGCAATAGAGCATTAATTGAACAGATTTGAAATAATTGAGTTCCACATTTGTTAAGAACATAGTAAAGGATGTTATCAAAGCTTCACACGTGGATATACCATTCTGAAAACTGCTTATGAAAATAATAGACTTTGATGCTAAGAATGAAAAAACATATGCTTTAAAAATTCATTAGGAAACTTCCCTTAAAAATGAATTATAGAAACTTCTGCCTTATTATAGAAATACCTTCTGACAGGCTACAGTTATCAGTTTCCATATTTGTGTACAGTTGAAGCATAATTGATGAAGATACAGGGCATACTGTAGATTGAATACAGAAAATTCCATTTCTTAATAGAAGTCAAAACCAGAAATGAGATCAAATGAGATGAAGTGAGAGAAAGAGATGGCAATTGGGAGAAGGAAAATGAAAAAAATGTTTTCCTTTTATCTGTAAAGTGAGTCTAGGCAGTAGAATGGAGATGGTTGTCAGGATAGGCAACAAGAAATCAGAGTTGAAGGCGCATTATAGATACTCTTTGTAAACTGATCACTGTGCTAGCTTATTTTAACTCAGAAATGTAGTCGTCACAACTTTTCAGTTGAGAACTGTTTGGCGTAAAATGTTACTTAAGTAGTTAAGAAATTTACCTTTATTTTTAAAGTTAACAAAAGCTAACAAATCAATATTCATAGTTCCAAGAATTATGCCGAACTTGGTAATCTCTTAATAGCTCATCAAAGGTTTTGCTGCTCTCTTGGTGAGTACTGAGAAATAAGCATCTGTTTTTAAAGAGTGATGATGATAATTCACACGATGTGTATATTCT